GAAGGCAAAAATTATTATCTATACTGATTTCTTATATTAGAATATCATAGATACATTACATAAGACTTAAGATATAATTCATGGAAACTGTTTTCACACGTTATTTTCTTCAATATGAAGAAAATACAAGTTGGGAAGAAAATAAAAAAAAACTGATACAGAAAATTAAATTTAGGTTTTTATTACCTGAAACACATTTTTCGTACTACCCAGACAAAATTATACATAGAACATTCCTTTCTAAAACAATGAAAGCACTCTTTAATTTGGTAAGTGTCACTAAGTAAGCGCTATGTTCAAGATTTGATAAGTAATTTGATACCTAATCGTAGAGCGGTGAAAGGATGCTTGTACGACTGTTATTTAGTTGAATGAATGACTACTGACTTTTTTATAGATAGCTGTTATATAGAGTTAATAACTATACACATATAATTTAATATTTAAAACGCTAAGACAGTTAAGTAGTCATTCATATAGAAAATATTGCATAATTATTCTATCGAAGCACTGCATTCATAAGTTAAAAGAATTATGAATACCGTATTACACGTACAAAACAAAAGTACACGTCATTTCTGTGGAAACAATACTTCTGACAAAAACAAAAAACAGTCGTAAACTATATTCTCACAGTAGTCAGACTGAATAAGTTGATTATTAGTGTCTTCTTTGGAAACAATACGGCTAAAAAAGTAAGATCGCAAGCTAAACACAACATTCTCACAGTGCTCAGACTGAATAAGTTGATTATCAGTGTCTTATTTGGAAACAATACGGCTAAAACGTAAGATCGCAAGCTAAACACAACATTCTCACAGTAGTCAGACTGAATAAGTTGATTATCAGTGTCTTATTTGGAAACAATACGGCTAAAACGTAAGATCGCAAGCTATACACATCATTCTCACAGTGCTCAGACTGAATAAGTTGATTATCAGTGTCTTATTTGGAAAAAATACGGCTGAAAAAGTAAGATCGCAAGCTAAACACAACAGTCTCACAGGACTCAGCCTGAATAAGTTGATTATTAGTGTCTTATTTGGAAACAATACGGCTAAAAAGTAAGATCGCAAGCTAAACACAATATTCTCACAGTAGTCAGAATGAATAAGTTGATTATTAGTGTCTTATTTGGAAACAATACGGCTAAAAAAAGTCAGATCGCAAGCTAAACACAACATTCTCACAGTAGTCAGACTGAATAAATTGATTATCAGTGTCTTATTTGGAAACAATACGGCTAAAACGTAAGATCGCAAGCTAAACACAACATTCTCACAGTAGTCAGACTGAATAAATTGATTATCAGTGTCTTATTTGGAAACAATACGGCTAAAACGTAAGATCGCAAGCTAAACACAACATTCTCACAGTAGTCAGACTGAATAAGTTGATTATCAGTGTCTTATTTGGAAACAATACGGCTGAAAAAGTAAGATCGCAAGCTAAACACAACATTTTCACAGTGCTCAGACTGAATAAGTTGATTATCAGTGTCTTATTTGGAAACAATACGGCTGAAAAAGTAAGATCGCAAGCTAAACACAACATTTTCACAGTAGTCAGACTAAACAAAAGCTGACACTTTCTTGCACAAAACCAAAGCATAAACGTTTATGTTCCAATAAATAAAAAATAAATTATTAATATTACAATATACGTTTAAGAAAGTAGTCTGGTGTCGTCTGCACCCGAAGTTTTAACTCTTTGTTTATTTACCTGGCGGTTTTTAATCAAACAGTTGCTGAAATTTAACAACACTTTAAATCAAAAGTCTAATATTGTTTATCATTTACATTAATGTTGTTAAGTTTAAAGTTTCGTAGTTTATCAATTATAGTTACGTTCTTAATCTTAAAGTTTAACATTAACTTTGCTTTAAAGTAAGTGATCAACATATCACCACTAAGTGATTGTTTTAATGCTAAGAACGGATTCGATATTGACTTGAAATATTTAACTCCCAAATATTAACTTTTATGTTTCTACCTTTTGCAAATAGAATTAACCAAACAAATCGGGCGAAATTCATCATTTTATATGTAAGATATACAGGAGGGGGGGGGGGGCAGAAACAGTTGATGATAATTTTATGTAAATGTTTTAGTTGACTTACAGGTTGTTAGGGGACTTGTAGTCAACAAAATGATGAACCCTTTTACAGCTTGGACCTACATGGTTTAAAAAACATGAGGCCACCACCTTTAATTCTGGGGTTTAGACTAAACTGCTTGGTTTTATCATACAATACTTTTCTTGTCGACACTAATCGTTTCGACTTCGGCTTATGACAAGAGTCTTCGCACTAGGCCTAACTTGGACTTATAGTAATCGATCTCAGATCCTAAGGAAATTAAAGTTACAGCCAATGTGTAAAATCATGACTAAAGATTTTTGTAATTTATTTTTCAGATGGCTGTAAATTTTGCATAATATCTTTTTTTTTAATCCGTTTATAGGCGGCGTGTCAAATATATTGATAAAATTCTGAAACGTTCACCGCCAGGCTTTATTCCATATTATGTACGAAAATGTTTGAATAACGAGCTAATAGATCTGAGGTTTTAAATTTTGAGAAGCTCACAAAGACTGATGGACTTAAGTCTGCGAAAAAGTAAACTTTTACTGACGAGTACCATTTTACCATATAAAGACTGCTATCTTGTTTTTCATTACAATCTTTCCTAAATATTACTTGTCAAAAAGTAAACTTTTACTGACGAGTACCATTTTACATATAAGGACTGTTATCTTGTTTTCCATTACAATCTTTCCTAAATAGTACTTGTCAAAAGTAAACTTTTACTGACGAGTACCATTTTACAATATAAGGACTGTTACCTTGTTTTCCATTATAATCTTTCCTACATATCAGTTGTCAGAAAGTAAACTTTTACTGAGATTGTAATGAAAAACAAGATAGCAGTCCTTATATGTAAAATGGTACTGGTCAGTAAAAGTTTACTTTTTGACAAGTATATTTAGGAAAGATTGTAATGAAAAACAAAATAGCAGTCCTTATATGGTAAAATGGTACTCGTTTCCTAAATATCAGTTGTCAGAAAGTAAACTTTTACTGACGAGTACCATTTTACAATATTAGGACTGTTACCTTGTTTTTCATTATAATCTTTCTTACATATCAGTTGTCAAAAGTAATACTTTACCGAGTGACGGATTTAAGTTTCTTTTTTCACAAAGTATGTAAAACATGTCTTTTTTTTCCGTGGAGATTACATTTGCAAATGTGAGAAAAACCAAACAAAAAAACAACTGAATTTTGTAGACGTCTCTGACCAGAACCCTACGGTAAATACTTTTTATATCATTGCAGTGTTAAATTTTGAACGTGAACGACATGCTTTTCTTTCCAGTTATTGCTCTAAATGGATAATATATTACAACTGCTGTCTTCGGTGTTCTATTATTTGATTTAAAGTTTCGTAATCTTACGTAAACGTTTATGGTGATTTCTTCTTATAACAGAAATATAAATAATAGCTGCACATTGGGCTAGCAGCACAGTGCCATCAGTATGTATAGAACCCCAAATCTTAGTGTTATAAGCCCTCACCAGTCTTACCGCTGAGCTATCGGAAGGCAAACGTTTGCTACTTTCATTGTGGCTGAAAATCACTACATACTGTATCGCATCAGTCTAGGACAGCAGTAAAAAAATTAGATAGATTTTTTTATTCCAAAGCAATAAACAGGACAACTGCTAAAATCGCAGGAATACAGAGAGAGACAGGACGCCATCTCTAATACAGAGGCGCCAGCACCTACATCGACTCTCCCACAAATTTTGATAGGCTTATAACTTTCCAAACTTCAACTGAGTTTTTAGTTCAATTTAATGTCTCACGATCAACTGATAAAGATTCTAAAATGAATTTGGCAGCTGAAGATAAATAGTTAAAAAGGTAAAATAAAGAGATTAAGACACAAAAGGAAGGTCAGCAAGTTGCTCAATAAACTTCTTATTTTCACATTAGTTTCGCTTTTGTTTTCCCTTGATTTTCATCATATCTGGACTCTCACTAAAATAAAATAGTTTCAAATTTCAACTGTGAAGGCACTTGGGTGGGGGGGGGGGGTCCGCCTGTTTTCGGCAGAGTCGTTTATGACAAGCTTGATTCACTTCTAACTTTGTCCCTCATAAACACATATTTTTGCTTTCGACGCTTATGAAACCCAATTAAATACTTGCTGTTGTTCAAACATTACATATTGTAGGACCATAACGTTGACATGACTATTCGAAACTTTAAAACTGAATGAGTAAAAATGTGCTTGTTGAGCGCAATCTGGTGTCAAAACATAAGTATTAAACGTGTTAAAGAAGATAGCGCCAACTATACGTTTTGGCACATTGGTATAAAGGCGAAACGGTGAGCACTTTATCATGATAAAAAGTAGTGTATTTATGCTTTCCGTGTCTGTCATAAAGTGAAGTTCACGTAGCTTCGAAATTTTCCCAAACGTAAAGTTCCTAATCAAAACTGGTAGTTACCCTATCGTTTCTTTAAAAGAACTGCAACAACCAGTCGTTTCAGATCGAAAGGTTAGCGAAACAGCGAGTTTTCAACGAAAATAAAGTTTTCTCATCAGTTATTTGTCCCAGACAGGTGATCATTTGCAGAGATGTACGTGACAAATTAAAAGTGTGAGGGCTCAAGGTTTATTTGACCGAGGGAATGCGCGCCATAAGCACACCCATTATGGCTGGGATACAGGGCTCGCATTAGAACCCTGGAAGCTCTTGGGTTCTGAATTAAATTTTATTATTTCTCCTGCTTTTCCTGGGAGTAGCTTTCCTAATTTTGATGCATTTTTACTGGGTCAGATAGAAAAGTGTTGGGGACCCCCACACCCTCCTCCGCTATACGCCACTTATTTGGCGTAAAATTAACATTGTTTGATTCAAACATTTATAAAACGTCGTAGTTCTATTTATGCTACGTGTATATTTCGTTGAACAAAATAAGTAAAATGACAACTTTATATACAATTTATTACTATAAGTGTTTAGAAATATGAAGTACAAGACATTTACACACGTTCGCAATTATCAAGTTGACACAGTCACAATAAGACGGTTAAACTTTAATATCAAATACAACGACAATACCAAGAAAAACACGAACTTGGTGGATATGGGAAAAGTGCTTATAAATATTAAAGAAAATAATGGTTTAAAACACATTAATTTACGTTTAATCTACAAATAATTAACAAAAATCATCACATTTTGTCAAATATTTCTTGACATTGCAATAATTGTAGTTTCGAAAAAGATTACATACGCTTTAAAGGTCATTGCATGAGAGTTTCTACCAATGTCAGCTAAAACAGGCGTTGCTCGTTTCTTATTACAAAGTGTAAGAAATTCATACGAACATACGAGAAAAAAAACTACAAATTTACATGAACTGCTTCTTAAGGTGATAACAAAGCTTTTCAGGGACTAAAGACTTTCTTATTTTAAGGTTCTGCTTCTTGATAATAATTACACCACATTTCGGTGTTTATTTCTATTGTATTTTTAAATGAGCATGTTTATTAATGCTCTTAAATCAAAATTAGAGAATTTTATTATTTAAAACTCAATTAGAGTATCAAGAAACACTGATACTTGAGCATTGGTTTTGTTGAACACAGAGCGTGCCGACTCTCTAATCTTTATCAATTAGATAAAGAGTAGTTTTTGTTGATGATGTTTTTTTGAAAAAACAAACAAACAAAACAACAAAAAAACGAAGCTTGTCTTATAACAGAAGTTGCACACTCCGGTTACGTCTGAAACATGTCGACGTTTATTCGGTTTGCTGTTGTTACAAACAGTTTTCGTACTTCTCTTCTTGTTTCTTTTACGCTTTGCTAACGTTCTTTTTTGTATAAAAAAAATACACACTTCTGACGTCATTTTTGTTGATGATGTTTTTTGAAAAAACAAACAAACAAATCAACAAAAAAACGAAGCTTATCTTATAACAGAAGTTGCACACTCCGGTTGCGTCTGAAAAATGTCGACGTTTATTCGGTTTGCTGTTGTTACAAACAGTTTTCGTACTTCTCTTCTTGTTTCTTTTACGCTTTGCTAACGTTCTTTTTTGTATAAAAAAAAATACACACTTCTGACGTCAAGTCGCTCAGTTAAAGGAGTTGCCACTATCCGACACAACTTCCTTCTTCAGGCTCGCATCAGATACGACGCTTACTGTGGTCTCGTGCAGTTTTCGTAGATGCTTCTTTAAGTCGAAGTTCCGACAGAAACCTTTGCCACACACTTTGCAGGTGTAAGGTTTCCTGTCCTTATGAGTGTGCATGTGAAAGGTAAGATTGTAGACCTGGTGGAATGCCTTATTACACACCGAGCATTTGTAAGCCTTTTCACCACTGTGTGTCAGCTTGTGGTTCTTGTAATTGCCCTTTTGGTGAAAACCTTTTCCGCAGTACTCGCAAACCCAGGGTTTGTAACCGGCGTGGATTCGGATGTGGGTGTTGAGGGTAGAACTCCTATTAAAAGCCTTGCCACAGGTGAGACATTTGTGTGGTTTTTCTTGAGTGTGGATGATCTTGTGACGACAGAGGGTGCTAGCTTGACGAAAACCCTTGCCACAGACCTTACATACGAATGGTCTGGCTCCAGTGTGTACAGGCATGTGACGAGTGAGGTTATAGTGTGCATTAAACACTTTTCCACACTCGGCACATACAAAATTCCTCGGCTTCTTACTGGATCCTCTTTTTGTCGTCATACCAAACTTTTTTTCAAGGTCACCACCAGGAGATGTTACTGTATTGTCATCCATTGGATCATACCGGGAACACAGAGTGGAGTAAATTGGGTCGGAAGAAAGTGGAATAAACTCTGCTTTTCCCGCATGGTTTGGACATTTCTTCTTGCCATCTTGAAGAGAAGTGAACATCAAATTCTTTCCTATTTGTGGAAAGAGTGGTTCTGGCCGAACAATGTTGGTTTGACCTTCTCTTGAATTTCTGAAAGGATTACAATCCCGCAACGTAGCAAACGACTTGTCTTTGACTGGTCTTGCTGGTTGAATGCCTAGGAAGGAGTGGTCATGTTCGTGATATATCGAGTAAAGAATGCTGTAATCGTTAAATAAGCTGGGTACACAGTGTGAATTCAACCAACAGTTAGCCGCCATATTGTGATTGTTCAAACATAGTTTGGTCACTCCTTGAGAATTAGTTGAGGATATTAACCTTGTCCAGTTGCCCTCGTAAGCATGGTCGTGATATAAGTGATCTGGCTTTAAAAGATTTTTACATCCAGGTGGATAATTTGGCATGAGGAACAACGAATGATTCATTGTCCAGCAACAAAACGGAACGGGGCAATTTAGTTGATGATACACCGAATCTGACGTTTCACTACTGGATTCTGTTTGATGTATATCCGACAGTTTTTTTCGTTGTTCTAGATTTTTTTCATCAGTTTTATTACTCATTATCCTAGCTATAGAAAAACTTAAGTTTTTCTTTTCTGATTTTGCTGAATTTGAATCATCGAGGCTCTGTGTCTGCTCACCGTCTTCTTCACTCATTTTCTGGAGCTTAGTGCTGCCCTCTAGTGTTGAACTAAAAGAATCAGGACATGAACTAATTATTGGAGAGAAACAGGTTGAGCTTTCGTATAAATCACATACACGATATGTTTTATCCAACTGGATCGCCTAATAAATTAATATAAAAAAAATACTTCAGTATGTTTAATGGTAGTTAAAGCTTTTAGAAAATAATGACACTGTTTATACTTTAACATAGTATTTACTACCAGGTAATTGTTAATCCGGATGGTTGATCTTGATTCTTGTCAGCTTAATTTAATCTTTACACCCAATCATCAGTTGCTAATTGATGCGCAGGAATGTAGCTGGAGTCTGAGCATTCTTAAAATGTTCCTTTATACAAGGTCCGCCATGGCCAGGTGGTTAGGGCGCTCGACTCGCAATCTGAGGGTCGCGGGTTCGAATCCCCGTCACACTAAACATGCTCGATCTTTCAGCCGTGGGGGCGTTATAATGTGACGGTAAATCCCACTATTCGTTGTTAAAAGAGTAGCCCAAGAGTTGGCAGTGGGTGGTGATGACTAGTTGCCTTCCATCTAGTCTTACAATGCTAAATTAGGGACGGTTAGCGCAGATAGCCCTCGTGTAGCTTTGCGCGAAATTCCAAACAAACAAACAAACCTTTATACAAGGTGAAAAATATAACGTTATAGGCTTTTTTTAAGTGCTGAACTTTTGTAACACTTAGTAGGTTCATATTTACTGCTTTTCAAAATAAGTAAATTGAAAGTTTGTGGTTTTCGCAACAGATCATCCTATTTCCTCAACAAAAAAAAAAGTGCTTATTTTGATATTCAGAGGAATTGTCAGTCAGCGGTGACTGAGAAATATTTTAAAATATGACTGAGAGTTTATAATACACCCATACTTAATACGTACGTCTCATTTTGAAGATAAAACCAGAAATGAAAGACACGTAGACAAGCTTGTTTATTAGTTATAAAGCACAAAATTACATAATGGGCTATTTACGATGTGTCCACAGCAGGGATCTAACCTCAAATTTAAGCATTATAAGATCTCAAATTTACTGCTGAGTCACTTTGTTGCAGGCCGTTCTATTACAAAGGAGTTCTCTGGTAACTAAACGGTAAACTTCTCTGCCTATAATGCTAAAATTCGAGGTACGGTCCTCTCGATAGACAAGGTGCAGATAGCCAACTTGGCGCTAAAACAAACAACAACAGTAATACACCAAGGAGGCCAATGAAATATCAGAATGATGAAGGGTTTTTCGAACAATCAGTTTTCTAAGAATTGGAATACTCTCTAACACATTTGTTTCTGCTGTTTTACTGAAACTAACTAGAGGGTTTATATTTTCCATTAAATCTTGAAAATCTTTCTCGAGCGAAATATACCATGCAATATTTGCAATCTCAAGTAAAATAAACACACCATTTAGAAAGTTAATCAGTGACAAAACTTCATGACAGAATACCATCATTGTTGCAGTTACAATGAAAAGGAAAACGTGCTCTACTCCAATTAAAACTTTAAATTAATAGAAATGCCTGATGCCGTTAGTTTGAAATATACACAATTTATTTATTTTCTTAACTTTTGAACCAAATACAAGTTATCATAACACAGAAAACTATTGAAGTTTAATTTAATGCTAGAGATATGAAGGGGTAAATATCAAATATTTAAGGCAATTTCCTTAAAATGAAACTCAATAAGGCTAGCTTACATTTTAATCCAACATTTTAGAATGATAACGAACATACAGACATATTATATTTTAATACTTTTTTCTTCTTCAGCACTTAACGCAAAATGCATAAATAAAATAAGTAATTTGGATAGACATAAAATGTTCTGAAGACATAATTTCATACACTTACAGTTCGATGTTTTCGTACTTGCTGGAGCTTTTTGCTAGGCCTCGTGTCGTGAAATCGTTGATGAGTTTACGCTGAACCGAGATAGATTTTACATTACCAATTAACTGCCAACAGGACAGCGTATTTTAAAAGCTCTATTAGTGTTCAAAATTAAGTTCGCACGCTTCACTTTTCTCCACCCATCAAGCCACTCATCACCTAACCGTATTGACCAATAAACTCAGCATATTCTCTGTTCTCCGTTATTATTGGCTGAGGTGATGTATAAGGAGTGGCTTGAGTGAGTAATGTCTCATGTGGATGAGAAAAAAGAACAATTGTTTGATACTACCTTCGTTTGTTCCAGGCGAAGCATGCGCAATATAAACTCTCGAGCTTAGTTTACGTGTTGGATTGAAGGCATTTTCTTGGAAAACGTATAACCATCACCTTTAATTAGCGTTCCAAGAATTTTTGACAGGACGAAATATTGCGTCTCTTCTGCAGAAAACAAACAAACAAATATGTATTAACTAATGTTTGCGGCAAGTTTGCAGAATTACCATGCTAAAAATCGGGTTTAAATACTACCCTCGGTTGGGAGAGCACAGATAGTCTAGTGTGTAGTTTTGCCCTTAAAAGCGACCAACCAGCCAACGTGACTACAAACTGCTCATTATGAGATTATAATTTAACTTTTAACGTTATTATAAGCTGCTGATGGTTGATTTGTTTGTTTGAAGTTAAGCACAAAGCTACACGATGGGCCATCTGTGCTCTGCCCACCACGGGTATCGAAACCTGGTTTCTAGCGTTGTAAGTACGTAGACATACTGCTGTGCCACTGGGAGGCCTGACGGTTGAATAGATGGGTGGATAAATATTTTATTTCTGTCTTATTTCATTAATGAGATGTATCGCAGACAAATAAAAGACATTCCACAGATATCAAAAAGCTCTAATAGATACCTGCCATGTTATATATAACAGTTAAAAGATCGACATTACGTGAAACAGATATACAAATCAATAATATATATATCTTACAGGAAAAAAAGTCATAGACGCCGGACAAAAGACAGTCAAGCTGTAATATATATCTGACAGGGAGAAGATCAAACATCAGATATATATTACAAGCTTGACTGTCTGTTACGAGCGTGTTTGATCTTCTCCCTGTCAGATATATATTACAAGCTTGACTGTCTGTTACGAGCGTATGGAAAAGATCAAACATTCCGCGTAACTAACAGTAAATACGGTAGTATACATATAAATGTGAAAATATGCAATATGCCGGCTAACAGATAGCCAGATATATAATATATACATTACTATTAAAAGTTTAAAGTCGAATACATAATCTATATGTGACAGAGAAAATATCAAACATGTCAAGTGACATACAGTCAAATATACAATATATATATATATATATATGATGAGGAAAAGTGAAACACATTGGATAACAAACGGTCGGATGAAGGACACTAGAGAGTCAAATCTATAATATTCATCTGACATGGAGGAGTCTACTTAAAGTTTATATATCCGTCAGTCAAAAGGAGTTGTTAGAGACATTGCAGATACCTTACTTACCTACCCCCCCTCCTCCTCACTCTCACGTGATAATAGTTTCGTGAAATATTTAGATATATTACGTTGCTTGCCACTGAAGTTATCACGTTCCTTGCCACTCATGTCCACTGAAACTGTTAAAAGTGACATCCAATTCAAACATCGGTAAAACCAACCAAGCACGTGATCATTGTTCACTCTCATTAATTTCACTAGAATAGTAGAGAATGCAGGTAGTGTGTGATAATTCACTAGATACCACACACCATCTATGTTAATGGATTGATTGATTGACAGTCTTATAACGCAACCACAGCTTAAAGTGCGTGGAATATTTTGTCGTACCGCACAGATTCGAACTCGGCTCATCAGCTCCGAACTCCGGATCCGTACCACAGAACTAACACGTGGCATGACAAGTAAGATAAAACGACCAGCAGCACGGGGAGGTGGGGGGATTTTTTGTCAACTACATGTAACAATAAATTTAACTTAGGAACATAAAAGTGGAATTCACTTCCAGTTAGATCTTTAAAATTATAGTAAACAATTGATATTCGAGTATAAATCCTACTTCACAAAACTTGCTTTCCAACTGCACAAATGATTTAGGTAACTACACATTTAGTACTTAACTGCATTAGAATAGACCTTATGATATGGAGAATATCAAATTCCACGTGACATTAGAAAGTCAAATATATATATAAGTTATATTCTCAAGCATAGTCAATTTGCATATCTTGTAACAAGTAAGATCATTTTTATTGAGATGGAATGCAAATACACTTAGCGTTGTCAAACTGAGAAATGCATGTTATATTAACAATCTACATATGTAATTTGTATGATAAGACAGGTTCTATGGACATCATGGACAGCAAATAATTTTATCAGACACCCGCAGAAAGATGTGTAATTCAGCATTTTACCTATCACAATAAAATCTTACCAAAACATATGTAAGAACAAAATATAACATTAAATTATTATAAGTAGCGTCTGTAATTTTATATCAGTTCATATTAAACATTCAGTACTTGGTTGGTCCTCGTATTCTAATAACCTCCGCAAGGCGACGTGGCATGCTGTTGATGAGGTTATTGATGTAATCCACTGTTATTTCTTCCCAACGTTTCACTAGAAGGCGCTGCAACTCAGCTACAGTAGTTGGTTTACTGTCGTGGTTAGTAATTTTCCGGCTCAGTTCTGCCTAACTCAATGGTATTACAATCTGGAGACTTTGCTGACTATAGCAATCTTGTAACGTCCTCCTGGTCGAAATAATCCTGCACAATACATGCACTGTGGGCAGTGGCATTGTCATCATGGAATACAAAGTTATTCCCAATCCTTGCCCTTGCATATGACAGAAGTATTGTCTCTATGTGATGCCTGTAGGAAGCGCCATTGACGTTTGCCTGAAGAATATGAAGATAAGTTTTTTCCACTATGATGAATAGCTGCCCAAACATGTACTACACCACCTCCTGTGTGTTCCCCGTTAGAAAGACAGTCTTCCCTCATTTGTTCTTCAAGCAAACGACGAATCCTACCACCGGCTTTCACAAGCCGGAAACAGGACTCATCTGAAAAGATGACATGTTGCTAGTGTCTTAACTGCAAGTTGGTATACTGTCTTGCCAAAGCAACACGGTGACAGCGGTGAATTCCGGATAGTATCGGTTTGCAGATAGGCCTTCTTGAAAAATAACTTTGTTTGATGAGTCTCCTATTCACTGTTCTTCTGGATACCCTGGAATAAATTTGTTCATGCCATTCCTGTCGTAAGGTGTTGCAAGACTTTTTTCGACCTTGACATGTTAACCTGATCAAAACATGGTCATCTCGGGTAGAAGTATTTGGGCGTCTACAAGTAGACTTTTCTGAAACAACGTTCCCTCTAGTCTGATGACGTTTCAGCATTCTTGATACAGTACACTAGCAATGTCTGTTTGCTTCTCTACACCAGATACAGAGAAACTGTCCGAATAAAGCGTTGATCTTTTTCGTAAAAGATTACACAAAATCACACCATTTTATACAAAACAAGTGTGTATGTGTGTTTTGACGAACAAATGCTCAAAACAACTTATACAGTTCAGAATAACAGCTCGTTCATGTTTTTCCGATAATACGCTACTCTCTTTGTTCCTACTCGGGCATTTACTTAAAACTACTCCATGCATGTAGACAATAACATCAATATAAAACATTTTGGTCAAGACTGTATAAATGTTCAAAACACCACCAGGTTCGAAAAATCATTTATATTTTTGATTTTGGTAGGTAAGTTGTGCTTTCGCAGCTTTAACATTGCTCTTCAGTCAACGGCTCTTCTTATAGTGCTAGATATTTAGAAGCTTGTAACCGTGGAGTATGCATAGCAGTATATATATATATATATATATTTCAAAGCTATTGTAAGTATATGATATAGATTAAAATAAGATCCAACATACAGAAATGTTTATATTCAAAGTTGTTTAATGACAGCCAAAATGCTGTAAAGGAAAAAGACGGAGAGAAACTATAGCGTGTGGTCCACAAAGATACTATCATCATCATCGTTTTAACTTTCGTGGCGTTATTTATTATAAATAAAGCTTTTAAAATAATAAAAGTACAAAATACCATTACATAACGTTTTTGGGGGCAAATATAATCGGAATAAAATAAATTTCAACAATCAAAACTAGCACAATTATAACCTAAATTTAAGGTACTTTTTTAGAACACACAACTTATTAAATTATTATTATTTGCTGAAGAAAAACGCGGATAGATATAAATTGAGCAATAAATTATGTTTTAGTGAATCGTTAAAACTGTGATGATGAGGATAGTATCGGTGTAGACCGCACGCTATAGTAGCACCAAATATTTAATCATGGTTTAATTGAACTTATTTATGTAGAGAGAGATTATTCGTGCCCTGATTTATACCGTATACTGTTCAAAAAAAAGAAACAACTTGGTAAGACACGTTTTTAAAGCTAGATTTGTACCGTCTTGTTTCTTTTTTTTGTATCAATCAAACAAAGAATTACATCTGGAAAGGAAAGAGTGATATTCGTTCCTTCCAATGCTGCGGCTTTGCGTATTGAGGCAAATACCTACGATTTTGTGTTTAGATAATTAATTTCAAAAAGAATCTCAAAAGTACCGAAGGCCCAACTTTTCTCAACCCTGACATTTGTTCAACCTACTTACGCAGAGTGCTGAGCATTTGTGCATTTTAACAGGGAAAGAAAGAAATTGTCAGACAAACTTCTTTCTGTTAATAAGTCTGTTATCCCCATATGCTTACTGCACCTTTTTCATAAGTAAACAGTTTGGTGAATAACTGTATAATGTTTTTTTAAAAGGAAAAGAAATGAGAATCAGATATTTGAGTTATGACACCATCGAGACCATAGGCCCGGAGTGCTTTAAAACCCTAGATTGTGGCACCACTATCATGTGACAAAAATTAAATTATATGGTTTTGACTTCTAGAGGACGTAAGAGACGAAAAACAACTACTTCAAAAAAAATATACTAGGCCATAGTTTCACGCTTTATTACAGATG